CGTGAGTCTATAAGGTGCCATAGGACTCCTCGTTGTTCTTGCAGATTCAGACCAACACGGCTACCGCTCTGATACTTGTCACTATGAACAATGCGTGCATGACTGGCCCAGCTCCTCCGAGGTATTTAGCTTCCTGCTCTGACTCACTCTAAAGTCCCTGGATCTGGGCCTGAGTCACCCAAAGCCAGGAAACGCTCATTGCACAGCTGGGAAGCACACCCAACCCTGGCTCCCAGGCATGGAGCCCTCTGGAAGGGTGCTGTGTCTTAGCACTGCAGCTATGGTACTCACTCACGTCATGTTTGGGGCACCAGGGAGCAAGTGCACAGGCTGGCTGGTTTGTCAGAGGGTGGGGAGCCTGTGCATGCCATGGTGGGGGGGAGGGGGGGGAACTGAGGACAGAGGCTTCAGCAGTGTTACTGACCATGCTCAATGCAAGCCAAGCACCAAATGTGGAGGGGGAAACCAATCCGATCCGCCCTCCCCTCCACACAAATCAGTTCTATCCAGGGCCTAATGAGGCACTGGAGAACTCTTTTTTGGCAGACAGCTTAGCAGTTCGCTGGCAGGAGCACTGCATCTAAATCCTATAGAAAAAAAAGAAAATTAAATAAATATTGGACCCACTCAGTTCTAACACTAACATATTCTGACATCTTGCGGCAAGTCACTTAAGGGACACTGGTCAGCCTTGAAATTCTAATATCTATTCTTACTGTGTTATCAACTCTGTGGAGAGAGACAGACTCCATCAGGACTCCTGGTGGGCTATGTCTACACTGGCAGGGTCTTTTGCAAGAACTCTTGTGCAAAAACACGTCCACACTGCCATGAGGTTTTGAGCAAGAGCATCCATGGCCGTGTGGGTGTGCGCAAGAAAGCTCTGATGGCCATTTTAGCCATAGGGCTTTCTTGCGCAAGAAATCCCTGCCGAGCGTCCACACTGCCCCCTTGCGCAAGAGCTGTTGCGAAAGAGAGTTTACACCTGTTAGAAAAGAGCATAGGTCTTGCACAAGAAGCCCTCTCTTACCACACTTTACCGTAAATCTTCTTGCGCAAGAGCAGGTGGGCAGCATGGACGCTCTACAGAAAAACGGCCGTTCTTGCGCAATAACCGGCCAGTGTAGACATAGCCCTGGGCTCTATCTCAGTTTGGAAGGGGATTGAAGTCTAACAGGTTACAGCAGGGGTCAGATACGTTTCAGCTCTATATAAGAACATCAGAATGACATAGTGGGTCAGACCAAAGGTCTTTCTAGCCCAGTTGTCCTCTGACAGTGGCCAATGCCAGGTGCTTCAGAAGGAATAAACAGAAGAGGCAATCATCATGCTCCATTCCCTGTCACCCATTCCCAGTTTCTGGCAAACTTCTGCCCATTCGGGCTAGTAGCCATTGATGGATCCATCCTCTTGAACTTATTTTGTTCTTATTGGAACCCTGTTGCAGTTTGGGCCTTTTCACCATCTCTTGGCAAAGAGTTCCACAAGTTGTGAAAACATAATTGGCTGCGTCTAGACTGGCAAGATTTTCTGCAAAAGCAGCTGCCTACACTGGCCGCTTGAATTTGCGCAAGAACACTGACGATCTCATGTAAGATTGTCAGTGTTCTTGCGGAAATGCTATGCTGCTCCCATTTGGGCAAAAGCCCTCTTGCGCAAATGCTTTTGCGCAAGAGGGCCAGTGTAGACAACGTGGTATTGTTTTGCGCAAAAAAGCCCCGATGGCGAAAATGGTGATTGGCGCTTTCTTGTACAAAACCATGTCTAGATTGGCATGGACGCTTTTCTGCAAAAAGTGCTTTTACGGAAAAGCATCCATGCCAATCTAGACACTCTTTTCCGCAAATGCTTTTAACGGAAAAACTTTTCCGTTAAAAGCATTTGCAGAAAATCATGCCAGTCTAGACGTAGCCAATTTAGTTTGTTTGTTTGTTTTAAATCTGCTGCCCATATATTTAATTGGGTCAGCTCCTTGCGTTATGTTGGTGAAGGAATAAATAACATTTCCTTCTTCTATTTTTCACACCATTTGTGATTTTCTAGACATCTAATATATCTTCCCTCCACACTTTAGTCATTTATTTTCCAAGCTGTAAAGTCCCAGTCTTATTAGTCCCTGTTCCTTACCCCTAATCCTTTCTGTTGTCCTTTCTGTGCCTTTTCCAAATACAATACATCTTTTTTTAGAGGGGATGACCATATCTACATACGGTATTCAAGATGTGGATGTACAATGACTTTATATAGAGGCAATATGGTATTTTGTTTTATCTATTCCTTTCCTAATGATTCCCAATATTCTGTTAGCTTTTTAGTTTTTAGACTCTACTGCACACTGAACAGATGTTTTCAGGGAACTATCCATAGTGGTTCCAAGATCTCTTTCTGGAATGGTAACAGCTATTTTAGACCCTGTCATTTTTGTATGCTAGGGTTGTATTTTTCCATATGCATTACTTTGAACTTATCAACACTGAATTCCATCTGCCTTTGTGTTGCCCAATCACCCAGTTTTGTGAGATCCCTTTGTAGCTCTTTGCAGTCGTGGTTGGATTAGTCACTGTTTACCCCTTTTCCAAGAACATTTGTAAGTTTAACCACAGTGATCCAAATGCAAATCCCAGCAGCACAACACTCATTCTTACTCCTCCTCCCTCCCCCCATCTTTTAAGTGGAGTACCCAGCAATGTTTTCATGATGATCTAATGATCCTTCAGTTACTGGGAATGCCCAGCCTGTTGTTATTCTTAATCACCTCCCTCCCTCTTTTTATAACAAACTCCCTGCCCCCAAAGGTAAAGCTGCAAGCAGCTCAAACTCTGTTGCATTTAAGAACTGCCTCTGGATCCAGGGCATAGGCTTAAAGCAGACCTCAAGTATGAAATTCAGGGGTGCCAATTTCAGCTACTGCCCCCCTAGTTCCCCATAAATGGCACCCTTCTAAGGGTGAAGCTGAGATCTCAGCTGACTCCAGACTACTTTTTCAGACCTTGTGGCTAGTGTCACAATAACAGTTTCTTTTTCTAGGTGAAAGTGCTGTGGTTCAATCCCAGCAGAGGTGCCAACTCAGATGTCACTGCAATGGATGCTGCAAGGGAGAGGTGCTGGCATCGTGGCTTTTACCAGGTGTGACAGGCCAAGGGGAGAGATATGGGTGATTGCTGGTGGGTGACTGCTGCATTTGAGCCTACTTCCAAATTTTTAGGAAACCAGCTCCCACAGGATGACTTAGTAACACACTGGGTTGATACTCAAGTCACTGCTCAGTAAAAGCCAGTCTCAAAAGCTCTGGCTATGAGGATCCTATTCCTTTGAAAGGCTTTGCAGCTTGGCTAAGCTCAGGTCATATAGACCCAGGCACCTGGCTAGGAACTGCCTGTTTATCAGGGTTTGCAGCTGTTCAAACAGGTTCTGGCTGCAAACACCATCAGATTTTATTGACGAACCCTGCGGGATGACTAGGAAAGGGTGTGCTGGCTGTCAGGAGGCCAACCAGCCCCTAGAGCTCCTCCAAGGGAGATTCTGAAAGGGATCCCTCAAGGTGGCAAAAGCCACAGGTCTGATTTCAGAAGGAGGTGGGTGCAGCGCTGCCTGGGGAAGGCTGGGGTTGGGATAGCAGGGGGTTGCAACTTGTGAGTCAGGATCAAGGGGCACTAGCCAAGCTGGGGGGGGGGGAGGGCTGCAGATTGAGGGGCAGAGGTGGGGGTGCAGGGCCAGGACAGTAGGGGATTGCAATTTGCAAGTCAGGATCAAGGGGTGCCAGCAGAACAGGGGGTGCTGGGCTGGGACATTGGGGGACTGCAGGTGGGGGGCATGAGCAGCCTCTGGGGCAGGGCTGGATTTG